GGACCTAGGCAGATCATCTAGTCCGACCCCCTGCCATGGCAGGAAAGAGTACTGGGGGCAAACGACCCCCGCAAGATGGTCATCTAACCTCCTCTTAAAAACCCCCAGGGTGGGAGCCTGCACCACCTCACTTGGAAGCTGGTTCCAGACCCTGGCCGCCCTGACCGTGAAGTAGCACCTCCTGATGTCCAACTTGAACCTTCCCTCCGCCAGCTTGTGACCGTTATTCCTGGTCACTCCTGGCGGCGCTCGGGGGAACAGGGACTCCCCCAGTGCCTGTTGATCCCCCCTGACTAGTTTATAGCAGGCCACAAGATCCCCCGCAGCCTTCTCTTCTGGAGGCTGAACAGGTTCAGGTCCCGTAACCTTTCCTCATAGGACCTGCCCTGCTGTCCCTTGATCATGCGAGTGGCCCTCCTCTGGACCCTCTTGATGCTGTCCACATCCCTCCTGAAGTGCGGCTCCCAGAACTGGACACAGTACTCCAGCTGCAGCCTGACCAGTGCCACATAGAGGGGGAGGATCACCTCCTTGGTCCTGCTTGAAATGCATCTGTGGATGCACGACAAGGTACAGTTGGCCTTCCTAGTCGCCTCCCCACACTGCCGAGCCATGTTCATCTTGGAGTCAATAATGACTCTCATGGTAAGAGGCCTAGAACACATAAGCCCCCCTACTAAAAAATCACTGAGTAGGATGCCCAGCCAGCATGAAGAGAGGTCACTATTTAGCTAGGTTTCCAATAATAGATGCTCCTACCCAAGGCTGGAGGCACTCTAATGTAATTAATCATACAGTAAATACAATCAAATTAAACATCGGCAGTTTTAAAGTAATCAGTTCTACAGGAACTCAGCTGGGCAGCCAGCCACCTACCCATTCATCAGCCAGGCAGCAAATCCTTAACTTTCTCTAGAGACCCTCTCAAGCAGGTATACCACAGGCTTGGAAAGCCACCAAGCTTGGGCTAGCTCTGACAGTGGGGAAAAGAACCACAGACAAGACCCTGCCAAACCCATCTCTCTCTTCTAATGAGGGAGAGATAGTTTGAGGACCATGGAGTCAGTCTGAAGGGGGAGGCACACACTTATTTAACCCAGCCCCCAGTCATTCAGGGCTTCCTGGCAACACCTTAGCTCCAACTGGAGCCAATAAGCAGCATTCAAATCAAAGCAGCGGCATCAAGTTGACATTGGCTGTGAATCCAATCCCTTACTCTCTGTTGAAAATACGTCAAGTTTGTGCTGGGGTTCCAAGAGGAGCAAATCTGGCCCTCTACAACCAGCAGCTCAGAGCTTGGCTGTTGCTGTCTATGGGCTGGGCCCTCCCAGCTTCCACTGGCTTCCTATGGGATCACAGATGTGCAGCACCTCTGAAAATCACGCATTTGCTGTGCAAGGGCTGGATTTCGCAGCCTGGCTAAATCAATTATATAAAGTTGGGGCGGGGGGATGATGACTCCAAACTAACTGCTTCTTCTGGGTGATCATGCCCACCAATTTAAAATGCCACCTTAAGTACCACCAGCAAATTTTTCAGTTCAACCTTAAGTATCACCAGCAAATTTTTGTCATATAAAGTACTTATAATAAATCTGTTAATGCATACCACTGGTGGTACACATCCTACAGATCGGGAACCACGGTGGTGGAGTGCTCCTTTTCGCTCCCTGAATTGGCTCTCTTCCATCCTCTCTCAAAGGAAAAAAAGACCCTCTTCTGAGCTGTTTCTACCTTCCACCCTCATCTCTTCACACCCCTACCCAAACGCTGCCTGTTTTTCTAGTTAAATTATTGTTGACAGGGTCCTTTAAATTGGGATGCCGGATCCTTTGCTGCCTAATCCACTTAACTCAACCCTAGCAGATTAAATTGAATGCCATATGGTGGGGACTGCGCTGCTGTAATCTGCTGGGACAAGGAGATTCTTGCTTCGTTACCTGAAGCGTGCCAGGGACTTCTCTTTCTAGGTTCCTCTGAGCTCGCGCCTTCCTTGCTGAGCAAATCAGGCAGGACAGGATGTGCTTTTGCAGCACATTTACCATCAGCAAAAATATGTGCTCTAGAAGGGCTGGGGGAGGGAGATAGCATTTGTGCAGATAACCAGGACCCAAGCAGCTAAGGAAGGAAAAATGTTCCCTCCACCCTCTGCAGAGTCTAACATAATGCCTCCTCCACCCCCCTCTGCCTTCCCCTTTGTCAGGCATTCAATCCCCAGAGGGCACTTTGGAAATTGGAGACCTGTCTGTGCCTAGCGGAAGGTGAACGAGGTCTACCAATATTTTGATTATAGTCCTTACTGTGATTGCAGCTCTCAGACCCGGTAACTCTGGACTGACATTGTGACTGTTATTAAAAGGCTGGATCTCCAAATAGCAGTTGCAGTATAGCCCACAGCTGGAGAGCAGAGTCCCAAGGATCAGGGAAGAGATTCAAGGATGCCACTGCCAACCAGGAGTTTAGGACTAGATGCCGAGAATGAGCCATCTCCCTGCACAGGCACCAGAGGCGCATTACTACACGCACACCCACGCAGCCTAAGAAGACTCCATTATGTCTACAGGCAATATAAGCAAATACATACTTTGTACATAGCAGAGCCTTAATTAGTTAACCTGCCCCCCCATCACCTGCACACCTGACAAATGAGGTATCCCATTTTACCAGTGGGGAATCTGAAGCACTGAGAAGTTATTTTCCCCAAATCCAGGTTTGCATCGGAGCTCAGAATACAATGCGGACGTCCTCACTCCCACTCCCCTCTAATCAACCAAATACTACTGCTGGGTCAGATTAACCTCTGGAAAAAGTTGCAGATGTTTTAGACTCCCTGTATGGCCACCGTGAAATGCATCTGATGCTTGTTAATGGGCAGAGACATCTACGTAGGTGTTAAAATGTACTGGGGAAAATGGTTAGGATATCAGACCTGGCCTCCCATATTCAAAATGGCATTAGCAACCTCAACCCTTTTTTAAAAACAAAGCATAAGTTATTTAAAAAAAAATAAGTACATAGTGACATTTTTTATCTCTCTCTTTTGATGCTAGAGGTGACAGGGTCACATTTTCAGGCTTTTCACTGAAACCATGAGCACTAGAAACTCAATTAAAAAAAAAAGAAAAGATAAGCCAAGATTCTCACACAATCACATGACTCCAGGAGAAGGGGGTTTAGGAAAAGCCCCAGTTACCAGGAGGCTGCAGTACCTCTGTGAGACTCAGCAGTGTTATTATAAGGATCAGGGCATAGAACAGATGGTGTCACCTCCAGGTGTCTATCAAACTTGGGGCAGCCCCAGACTTGGCATTTTAGCAGGGGGGGGCAATTAAGCCTGATAACTCAGTTGGCTGAATAGTTACTGAACACAAAGCAACCTGCACCCTCTCAGTCCTTCCCTAGCAATCTGTCCATTTCCACCGCATCCCAAGGGCTTTCAGAGGCAACGGCAATGGCAATAAAGTGGTGTTGCACCTGAATTACAAGGTATCCACTATTAGTTACCGTTGGGTGGATGGGAAGATAGTGAGGGAATGAGTGACCGAGGTGCTGTAGACTTATTCGGCTTCCTCTGGGGCCTAGACAGACAGCTGGTAGTTAACACATGGCCCCAGTTGTGCCATGTTAGACGCAATCCCCACCAACCCAGGACCTGTTGCCCATGTTCAGCAAGGGGATAATCACAGGGCAGACACTTGGAATAACATGAATTTGCTAATTCCGTCCTGGAGGCTGAGGTCTAGGAGTGAGGAGCAAGCTGATGGGGATGTTGGCCTTCTTCCTTCTGCCGTGGCAATAGAGCCCAAGCAGTCAGTGCCCAGAGGGAGTAAAGTGCAGCCATAGCAAGTAGAGATGGAGATTCAACTAGCACCCTCAATGCCAGCGCTGCCCCCTCAGTGTCCCTCCCTGTGACATAGAGACGTTTGACTGACAGGGCAGGCAGGCTTGGGAGCCAGGCCACCGACTGATTCTCATGCCTGGAGGACAATAAACTTGAGAACCGGTGAAGTGGCCTGATGCCAATGTGTCCTGCAGGCAGGCACAGCATACTGCTGCCACCTCCGCACAGACTCACCAGCAGCTGTGCAAAGGCATCCTGAGAACCTGTTCCATTTCCCCCAGGCCACGGGAAGCTGTATTACTCATGCCAATCTACTAGTGGATGATGGATGGGAGCCGGGAAAGGTTTAGTCACTGTCTTAATCAGATGCATCATTTCCCAAGTATCTCCGAGGTCCTAGGATGCGTTACAAAGTAGGGATCCAACCCTAAAAAGTCATGTGCCCCCTCAAATGCCATTGACCTTAAACAACGGAGGTTAAAGACCCTCAGCAGCTTGTTGGATCAGGCTTTATGGGTGCCCTCCTGAACCCCACGGCAGCCTAGTGACAGCACAAAATGGCCACGTAATTGGCTCAAATAGTCAACCAGGGATTCCCTGGGGTGTATGGACACATGCCCACTGTAGCTGGAGGTACGAAACCCTCTCAACATCAGCAGTGTGAGGGGACAAAGTCAAAGTGCAGCAACCCCCAATATTCCCAAACAAGCTGATAATACCTTGGGGTCTCTTCTATGTAGGGTGTAATTTAGAGCAGCCCTGAGGTTTCCCTAAATCCATCAGGGACTGAACTGGTTCCTTTGCAGCTGGACACAGTAGAGGATCGAGCCCTGGGAGTGAGAACTCCAAGGTTGGTCCCTATGTTTATAAATCCCCTGGAAATGCAGGCAGCTAGGGTGGAAGACAGCCAGCAACCAGCCCACGATACTGTACAGCAACGGTAGGAGCAGAAACACGGTATCAGGAGGGACCCAGCCCAGCCACAACTGGTGCAGGCAGTGCCTTAATGCCCAAGAGGAGGAGGCAGTTGACTGGTTCTCAAGGTCCTACCTGAGCAATCCAGTCACTGCACTGAGCTCCAGTCTACCTCAGAAAGGGGATTTCCATCCTACCATTGCAGGAAACCTTGGTCCCACCAGTTTGTTCTTTTTATTTTCCAGACCTGCACTTGGCGGCCGAACTGGGGAAGACGCTGCTGGAACGCAACAAAGAGCTGGAAGATTCGCTGCAGCAGATGTACACGACCAATGAGGAGCAAGTGCAAGAGATAGAGGTTTTTTGGGGGGGGTTGTTTTGTTTTTTATTTAATTTATATCCGAGACCAGATTAGCCAAAACTAATTCCAAATTCAAGAGTCCACAACCATAAGGGGCCCTACTACCGGCAAACATCCAGCAGGCCTCTCCGTTGACACCGTGACCATCTGTGATGAATGTAGGAAGCCTTGCAGCTGCCTCGCTGCAGCCAGTGTGGGCTACTGGGTGGATACGAGATTGCAGGGATGTGTTGGGGGACAGGAGTTAGAGACACTTAGTACCCGAGGCCGAGTGAGACCAGCCCTAAAGAGGGTCCCCTCTCCCCAAAGTCATGTTTTTTATCCCCTCTTCCCCCAGAGAGCAGCTTTAGGAAGATGAGTCTTAGTTACATCAGGGTATGGACATTAGGCCTGTGCGAAGCAGGTAGTATTTGCTTCAGATTCGGCTGATTCGGGGGGGACAGTGATTTGATTAGGTGATTCAAATCACTGTCCTGATTCGATTCGGCCAACTCTCTAAATCAGCCAGGCCAGGCCCATCACCCACCCTGGCAATCCCCAGCTCCCGGCTCTTGTTAAAAAAAAAAGCCCTGGTTCAGCGGACACTGCCAGGTGGAGGGTGATCCCTGTTGCCCCCCACTGCCCTATGCTGCATGGGGGGGCTCTGCACGAGCCCCCCAACTTTCCCCCTCGCTCCCCCAGCCCTTCCACGGGTACCCCGCCTGGGCCAGCTCCAGCCCTTTAAGAAAAAAAAACCCAAAAACCCCCCAAGCACTCACCACTTCTGCTGGCGGGGGGCAATCCCTGCTGCCCCCACTGCCCCGCACCATGTGGGGGGCTCTGTACGAGCCCCCGAAGCACCAAGGCCACTGCAGGAGTGGGGAGTTTTTTTCCTTAAAGGGCCGGAGCTGGCTCAAGTGGGACACACATAGCAGGGGCCGGGGGAGCAGGGTGGGGTCGAGGGGCTCATGCAGAGCCCCCCATGCAGCGTGGGGTAGTGGGGGCAGCGGGGATCGCCCTCCCCACCCCCGCTCAGCAGCACCCAGTGAGCTCCAGGGCTTTTTTTTAACGTATCAAGCTGGGGCAGATGGGGGCAGCCATGTGGGGGCTGGGGCAGCAGGCGGAGGTGAAGGGGACTGGGGGAGCGGAGAAGGTCAGGGGGCTGGCAGGGGTCCCCCCATGGGTCCCCTCCCCTGCCCCTAGTACTTACCAGCTCAGAGTGGCTGCAGTTCCCTGCTGCAGCCACTGGGGACTGCCCGAATCATCAAAGCTCTCTGAATCTTTGCAGAAGATTCGGAGAGCTTTGAATCGATTTGGATCTTAAATTGGTCCCGATTTGATTCAGATTCAGAGATTCGGCCACCAAATCGGGCCATATCTCCTCCGAACTGAATCACCACCCGAAGCATTGCACAGCCCTAATGGACATGCAAACAACTTACTGGGTGTGTCTACACAAGACGCTTACTGCGCAGTAGCTCGTTACTACTGCACTGTAGCATCGCAGGGCATGAACCGTGATGTGATGCCACTGCACAGCAAGTGGCACCAGGCAACCATGCCAAGATGCTACTGCACAGTAACACTGGTTACTGCACACTTATTTAGTACTTGGTTATGCAAGTATTAAATGACGGCGCAGTAACAACTGCGCAGCGGGTGTCTTGTGTAGATGAGCCCGTTGCGTAGTAAGAGGCAGAACCTGACTACGTGACACCCACTCTGGGGTAAGTGCCTGGATGTACACTCCTACCCCGTGAGCAGTATCCAGGGACAGGGCATGCATATGAACAGTTACTCCGGAGTAGCCGGCTTTTGGTAAAGCCTCGACCCTTCAACACCAGGGTAATTTGTTCCTATGCCCAAGCCCTTTGTCCCTGCCCCAGAACTCAGGCTGGCTTCTCTGCAGAACTTCACAGAAAGGGTACAATTGTTTCGAGGCCTCTTGTCCTGCCTCAATTCCAGTTATTTTTAAATCATGCTTACTACAGCTGTGCCTAGAGGCCAAGCGAGACTGGAGCTCCATTGTTCACGGCCCATGTGGAAACCTAGTACAAGAGACAGCTCTTATCCCCGAAGAGCTACCCTCTAAATAAACAAGGCAGACCCAGGATAGAGACGGGGGAGAGAACACACACGTGAGATGTTGCATGACATGATCATGTGAAAAGAATAAATGCATGGACTCTGTGGTCCCTCACTACCCTCATCCTTGAGATTCAGGGCTGAGAGAGGGGGCACTTGAGTCAGAGCCCCAGTGTAAAGGACTGGCAGCGAACCACAGCTCTTCAGCCAGCTGCAGACGCTTGCAGGACAGGGTGCAGCAGTGAGGAAAGAAAGTAGAGAACGTGGTTCTTCAAATGGGAACCAGCCCTTCATAATGCTAAGTGCTTCCTGGGAGAGACTGAATACCCTCAGCTCCAACTTGAGAGAGCTTGGTCCCTGGTGCCTTTCAAGACCAAGTGGAAGGGGAGGAGATTCAGGGGTGGGTTTGTGTGAACAAGGAGAACCCCAAAGGTCTCCTCCCATTTCATGGACTCCTGATTTTTTTCTTTCAGTACCTGACAAAGCAGCTGGAGATGTTGCGCCAAATGAACGAACAGCACGCTAAGGTCTACGAGCAGCTGGACCTGACGGCGCGGGACCTGGAGCTGGCCAACCAGAAGCTTGTGCTGGAGAGCAAGACATCCCAGCAGAAGATACAGTGGTAAGGCTCACCATAATGTTTGCTCCTTTCCTCAGGTTAGCAATCAGCACAGTAATCCTGGAGCCAGGATGCAGCAAAATGTTTTACCTACAGCTGGCAAGGCAAGCGCCAGTCCTGTCTGACAACAAGAGAGTCTATTTGGAGAACCATGTTCCCTGAACTGCAGGACCACAATCACGTTAAGAGTCTCTGGGGGAATCAATGACGGACAGCCGACTAGGATGCAGATCACACACAGAGAGCAATGCAGACTAGGCTATTCCCTAGCAGTTGATGCCAGTTTATCCGTAACACTTTCCCACCTAAAAGGAACCCCTGAACCGTATCAATCCCTATCAACAACAGATAGTTACTCTGTCCCTGCAACACCCCTGTTTAAAAAGATGAGACAGAACTAAGAGCTGCACAGGCTGCAAACACTATTTGACAAACCCCACTTGTAACCAGAGTGAAAAATAATCTCTAGCTGGTTTCTAAATTTTTATTTCTCCAAAAGATACAGGAGGAGGAAGAAGCTGGCTGTCACCCTCCCTACTTCTCTTTAAATGCAGAGATATTTTAGCCTCTTCCCAGGAGGTTACTATTCTAACCAACTGATGCAAGAGCACTCGACTGCCACCTCCTCATCCACCTGCTCCCATCACATGCCCACACACCATGTCTAAATTCAGGAAAGAAAATGCATGGGTGCTGTTCAAAGCCCAAAGCTGTATTCCCAACACATCCAAAATCCCCACGGATAACGAATCCAGGTGGTGAGAGGAATGCAGGATTGCTCTCAGATGGGTGCTTCCCTCCCCGCTTTCCCCATAAAGGGAGGATTTTCCTTCCAAAAGTCCTTTGCCAAAAAGATACCCAGTTCCTTCGATGCCTCATCTCTCTTGTTTTTATTCTCTCTCTGGCCTGGCCCGTCCTGCAGCCTAACAGAAACCATCGAGGGGCTACAAAACCAGGTGGAGGAGCTGCAAAAGCAAGTGGAGGAGATGCGGAGTTTGGAGCAACTCCGCATACGGCGGGAGAAGAGGGAGCGACGTCGAACCATCCATACCTTCCCCTGCCTCAAGGAGCTGTGCTCAAGCCCCAGGTACTGTGCTGAGGATCAGCAGATGCTGCTTTGCCTGAGATGCTCTGCACTGTCCTTGGGGAGAGTTTCCCCATTAAAATTAGTGTTTCTGCTGATGGATCTAGAGATGTGGCAGGAGATAATGGGGAAGGGGTTCTTGTCTGCCTACTCAAGCCTAGTTTTGCTCTAGCCCCTTGAAGCCCCAGTCAAGGGCCAAGGGCCCCTGGAGTTAAGAGCTGTGCCAACACATATGTGGCTGTTGTTCATTCAGCCCTCCTTAAAAATCCAACCGCAGGATTAATTCATTGACCTCCTGAGGACATTTCTTGCTCTGTCTGCAATAGCATCTTCTCTAAATAGCTACGTGATCAATAAGCCCGCTGTCCTATAGGGAAGCATCCACTGGCAGGAGATGCAAACAACCATCATTGCTACTGAAGCAACGGAGGGGATGTTACTAGGGCGTAATCAACCCCCCGGCTAAATGTACTCGATGTGGTTTTTATCCCACAATGCCTCAGTGGAACGTTTCCCACAATGCCTTGGGACTGCATGGTTGGGCTTTTCAATTTTGCAGCTGGGTTTTGAAGGTGACTCCGACTTACAGGGAGGAGGAAATCTGTTCAGTACCTCCCACCGCCAACCAAGCCCTCAGGGGGAAGCGGGGGGGCTTTCATCCCTTGCAAACGGTTCCAGCTAGATACTGCGCGGTGGGCTGCTTATTGAAGAGAAGAGGAACAGATTTCCTGGCAGAGAGGAAGCAGTGCATTTCATTTGGTTTCCATTTTTCCATCCGTCTTTGTCTTAAAACCACCTCCTGCTTTTTCATTAGCACTTCAGAGAACGGCACCAGTCAAACATCTGGGTATTTTGAAGTCCAGAAGCCACAACAGAGAGATCACAATCCTACTTTGTTTTTTTCTGGGCAGCACAATTCCCCAGGGCAGGTTCTCCTACCTACGTTCTCCCCTTGCGAGAAAAGCCAAATGCCAAAGCACAGGGCGTCTGGGAAGCAGCTCATGGTGTCAGCCTTTGGCACAGGGGGGAAAGGCAGATGGTCAGTAGGTGCCTAGAGCACAGCACTTGTGCCCATTAATATCAGCTTCTCCTACCCCCTGCTAGCTTAGGTGCCACCACTGCTTTTCCTTCCTTTCAACTGGAAAAATCATTCCCTGTAAATTATACTGATGGGGTTTAGTTGCTGCGGGGGAAAGGGAGGCAGGCAAGTATCCCAGAAGCAATGTGGCTGGCAGCTCACTTCTGTCCCCTTCATTCTTCAAGATCATAAAGCTAATGTAATAAATTCCTAGAGGTCCCAGGATGGAAAAATGGTCAAACCCTGCATTTTTGAACTCACATGGATCATGTCTGGAAGTTGTTACTATTTAAGAGCTGTGAGGGGGGGCACGTGGGAAACGAGTTTGATGTCCTTAAACCAGTGTAACTTAGTCAAGGCTAACTAAAGGAGTCAATGGAAACTGATGTCGCTAAACTGGTGCAAGGGTTTACATCACTTTCCAAATGAATTTCATTTAAAATGGAGTGACCCTTCTCTGGCCAGTCCCCAGGTATCCACATCATGGACCGGGCAGCTACATTTAGTAATCCTCAGCAGTCTCTCTGCTAATGCAAGTGGCTCTGGGAGGCTGGACAATCCTTTCATCTCTCCTGCTGGTTTCTTCAGCAGAGAGTGGCAAGGCAAAATGGGAAGAAGCTAGCACTGTCAGTGCCTCAGCTATTCATAGTCTTTGTATCAAGAGGAAAGTCCCATCTCCAGGTATCTCCATCAGGTAGCACTTCATCTGCCTCACACAGGCAGACTGGATAAAAACCTACAGTCTCTGCAAGTCAGTCCGGCAATAAAGGGAGATGCTGCCGGCTGTCGGATCCACAATACAGGTCTCCCTATGGGGGAAAAGCAGAAGACAGCATGTGGAGGGCGCTGGACTGAGACAGGAGTCCTGGGCTCTGTTCCCAACTCTGCTATAAACCAGCTCTGTGACCTTGGACAAGCAACTTCCCTTCTCTGCACTTCATTTCCCCTCTCACCCCTTTCTCTCCCTTGTCTAATTAAATGGCGAGCTAATCAACACAAGGACTCGCCCTTTATATGGCTGTGTGGTACCTACTCTATCTTGATTGCGACAGGAATAGAAATAATAACAGAGCATAAACAAGCTGAGTCCGGCTCCCTTAACCTTAGTATAGACAGGTATCATTCCTCTCTGACTTCTGGGTCACACCAGTGATTCCCTAAAACAGAATTTGGGGCTGGTATCTGTAAGGGACTGTGATTTTGTCAACAACTCACTGCAGTCTCCTTCCCCCACAGGTATGAGGATGCTTTCCAGATCCACAGCTCTTCAATGGAGTTCAACCAGAAGCCGCTAGAGCGGGAGAACGAGCGCCTCCAGGCAATGGTGAACTCCCTACGGTCCCAGGTCAACCAGGAGAAGCAGCGGAAGGAGAGGGTGGAGCGGGAGTACACATCCGTCATCCAGGAGTACTCGGACCTTGAGCAGAGGGTGTGCGAGATGGAGAGCTGCAAACTGCGCATCAAGGAGCTGGAGGCCGAGCTCCTGGAGCTGCAGCAGATGAAACAAGTCAAGAAGTATCTTCTCAGCAGAGAGGACAACCTGTCCGAGGCCCTTCTGGAACCGTTGAACAATGCCCCAGAAGCAGACTACATTGATCTCTCAGAGGAAGAAGGGGCTAAAAATCACGGGCCCTCCATGACACCTTCTCCAAATCACCCCGTCCGGAAAAGCTGCAGCGACACCGCCCTCAATGCCATCGTGGCCAAGGACGCCGTGAGCCGGCATGAAGGCAACTACACTCTTCACGCCAACAACGTGCGCAAGCGGGGCATGTCGATCCTGAGAGAAGTGGACGAGCAATACCACGCTCTGCTGGAGAAGTACGAAGAGCTCCTCAGCAAATGCCGACAGCACAAGGACAGCGTGCGTCACACCGGAGTCCAGACATCCCGGCCCATCTCTCGCGACAGCTCCTTCAGGGACTTCCGGGGAGAGGGGCATGAGCTGGAAGAGCGCAAAACGATGGAGAAGACCCTCAGCAAACACGTGGAGGCCGTGGACAAGCGGCTGGAACAGAGCCAGCCAGAGTACAAGGCCCTTTTCAAGGAGATCTTTTCACGCATCCAGAAGACAAAAGCAGACATCAATGCCACCAAGGTGAAAAACAAGAACAGCAAATGAGTCCTGCCTCCGCTGCATTCCCTCTGTTTCCACATGTAACTTCAACAGCCAGCCCTTATCTTCCACCACACAAAACATAGTGTGGCCTCTCCCCCTGCCTTGAAGTCTGGAGGCCGGCCACTTACATGGTCCTCTTGTACTGGAAAGGAGCCTCTTTGGTTCAGGAGTGAGGAAAGTGCCATGGAGACTTGCTTTTTTAAGTTCGTGCCCCAAGTGGATCCACCTGCCAGGGTTTCCAAACTGGCTGGAAAAGCTGTATATTGTAGTTAGAGGTGATTTCAAAAAGTTTACCATGAATTTCTGCATGTGTTGCTGCAAGCAGCCAGAAATCATAAACGAGGGAAAACCAACCAGCTTCCCACCCTTTCAGCTTCCCCAGTAGTCACCAGTCACTGTGTTTGATTAGCTACAGACAGAAGCTTGGATGACCGACACTGTCCTGGAATGGGCTGGGTACAATGATACAAAAAAAGCCATCAACAACTTCCAGGGAGTGCTTTGGAAAATCCAGCCCATCTCCGTCACCGAGATCTGCTGCAAAGCACCCACAGCTGTACTTGAGACTTTAACCTGACCTTTCCATTCCTTGAAGGGCAGTATTTTCTTGCTATTTAAGCCATTCTCTTATCAGTCAGGTTTTTCAGCTCTTTACAATGCAAGCTCATTGCAACTGGAAAAACTTGAAATATAGAACTGATTGTTCCATCTTCATCAGCTTTCACCTGATAAATCAGTCCATAATCTTAAGACACCATAAGCATATAGAATTGCCTTCCTTTACACTCGTATCAACATTTCATTCCAGGTAAATCACCGCCTGGTTGAAAGGGATGACCAGGGCTTTCCCCAAAGCCAAGCAGGAAGTGCTATTGCTGGGTCTGAGACTTACCCTCATCTTCTCTAGATGAGGAGCATGGGGCTTCTACACCATGCTATTCAAGAGGTCTTGCCACCTCTCCTAGCAAGCTCCTAATGATATAACTTGCATGGGTTTGCAAAAACTGATTAGCAGTGATTCACCTGTAGATAAAAGGATAACAAAAAACACCATAAAGGGTTAAGAGCAGTGACTACTGCTAATAGCATTGATCACACTGTCCCACGTCTTCTCTCTGTCTGCTCCTGGTTAAGCCAACAGACACGGTGTTTTCTGTGGAAATATGACTGAGCTGCCTTCTCCAAAGGCTGTCGCCTTCCGTGGCATTTTCTATGTTCCATTTAACTGTCCAGTGTCAGAATCTCTTCACTCCGTGTACACTCCCAGAGACATGCACATAGACACACACACACGCAAAAAGCTTCACCAGTCTCAGGA